GATGCTCAGTCAACTTGTGTGAAGACTATAGAGTGAATAAGTCAAAGAGTAGCATCAATTTCAGCTGAAGCGATGTTTAGTGTTTTACTCCCCCCTGGGGATGTAGCAATTTGATATTAAGTAACAGCGTGCAGAGAAACCCTGGGCAGCTGTCAGACAGCCAGTCAGTCACTTTAACACAGCAGTCAGCACTAACAACTGCATTGGTTTTGTTTATATGCTTGGCCTGCAGCGCTAAGGGGTGACAGAGAACAATTTTAAAATATAGCCTGTTCACAGTAAGGAAAGATTTAATGAGTAGAGAGGAAAAGTAAACAGTGTAGATTTTCCCAGGGGTGTTTGCACAGAGCGGTGTTGGCAAACGCCTCCAGACTCCTGTGGAAACAAAGTGCCCTAGAGCCCTATTGGCAATACCGATAAGCCACAGTTGGCGAAATATGGCCCATCAAAGGCACTCTTAGATGTTCTTTTCTTTGTGGGCAGCAGCAGCCCGACAGAGAAGAATAAGGTTCACTTAGGAACCTTCATTTCATGTAATGTTTACAAGTTATCTTAAATTGTCCTTTTCCACCAGTCATTACAGAAAACATCAACTTTTTTTTTTTTTTTTTACTTGTCAAACACTTTCAATTCCTCCGCTTGGGAAAAGTCATTATTTTTACAAAGGGAATTGTGATGACAAAATGCCATTTGTTTGGGAAGTGTTTGTAAAGGCCCTCCTGCAGAGATTGGGTTTACATTTAAGGATGCTAAAAGTCTTGTATAAACCGCTGTCCCAACCTACAATCAATCTTTTCTCAGACAATCTTTTGTGCAAGCACAGCTGCTCATTCTCAGCGGAATAATGAGCCGTAATGCCACAACAGAAACCTCTTTAACATGCACAGGGAGCTCTATTGGTATTATGTCCCTCAAATGCGAAACCCTTTGAATTGACAACAATCTGTTCTGCGCGGAGCAGCTTGCGGAGGCATTCGCGAGAAAGTGAGGGCGCGGAGTTTCGAGGTCTACTTCAGTAACACTCCAAGTGCTGATGACAAGCCCGGAGCCTTTAAAAATCAAAGGAGAGAGCCGGGCTTTATGAAAATCACAACCTGGAAATTGGGAGCTTTGAGCCTCGACGCGGCGCATCGCTCAGGTGTGGAGGCAGCGTGCACGGGCAGCAACTCCCCGCTCCAGCATCGCATACATTTACAGTTTTCGTGTAGGCAGTCTCTTTTCATTCGGTCGCCGGTTTAGCTGAAGAAGATCTGAACTCCCGCTCGGCGAAAGGATATCTCCATGAATGAGGCTTTTCTTTGAAATATTAAATTCAAACGGAAAAATACATCAATGTCCACTCATGGCAGTAATTTAGCATTCAGCGTGATCGCAACATATATTGATGTCTAAATTGCAGTTTTACAACTTTTGCTTCCCTGCTGTTGCTTTTGAATTTTATTGCAGCGTGTTCACTCGTAATAACACTGTCGCTGGAACACAACACGTGTTCATTAAAACATGCATGGTAGCTTTTTTTTCTTAGCATGTTTTATTAAAGGACTGTACTTCACATTGGATTTGTGCATTTAGAGCAATTACAGATAAGCAGAATTGTATTTTTAAAAAAATAAGAGCGGAGTTATTTTAGATAAAATGTTGATTTTTAAAGAGTAAACTGATGATGAAAATATTTGCCGGTCATGAATGTTGGCAGCTCAGCACATGCAAATTGTCTGAAAATATTACCAGCATATCATCAGTGTGGCACAACATTGTTATAATTATAATTTCTACTCATCTTTCTCTTCCAGCCCTCGAGGGGCTCCATATGTTATAGTGTTGGACACTCCTCGCTCTGCTCTTCACATCTCCTCTCCTCCCTCTCTGCTCTCTCGCCAAGTGGTTTGGAACAGTTCAGCCTTTCCATTCCTCACTCATCTCGCGCTTGTTTTCTCCCCCTCTCGCCTCCTTACTCCGCTCTTCTTGTATATCCGGCTGCCATTGTTCCCAAGTGCAGGTTAATTTATGCTTTTATTCCCGGCGCCGAACAGATGCGGCGCTTTTCAGCCCCGCGCATCAAAGTCCGCTAACGAGCCGTAAACAGAGTGCGAACGGTGTCGACGGTAGAGAAAGTAAGAGACGACACTCTTTTTCACGATGGCACTTAAATATACGTCTGACAAAGAGTTTATTTCTACAGCAACTTATACACATGTTCTCCCAAGTGCTCCAGAGGTAAAAAATATATAGCAGATATAGAATAAGAAAGTACAGACAAGTTTGAGAAACGTGGCGTAAAAACAGATCAAATTAATGCAGTGGAAACGGTACAAACTACAGCTAACATCCAAAGTGAGCTGATTCTAGCAGCGAGCAGCGTAATGGCTAAAAACCATTTCCCCGTGTTCGGTTTGAACTCATCATCACTTGCTGACCCTCCAGATGTGAGAGCTCTGCCAGACTTGTACCCAACATAACAAAGGAAAATGTTTCAAGTTTCTGTAATTTTCTATTCATTTTTTTTTTTTGCAATTTAAAATATTGAGTGGAAGGAAAGACATGTTCCGAAGGTAAACGGCTGGATTTGACCTGAGCGCGCTGCTACGTCTTTATCTTTCTGTCTCTTCATGTGTGTCTGCACTGATTGTGCAAAACATCGTAATGCAAGCACTCACACTAGGACTCGACAACGCTCAAAAACAAACAAAAAAAAAGGGGTTATTTCAACAGGTATTGCAATATAAGTCATGTTACGTGTGTTTGTTTTCCACTTAAGTATAAAATTATATGATTTCGGCCGTGGTCAGTATCAAACAAGCATGTTCCCTTACATCTGAACAATATGATTTGCTGGTGGGGGCATCTGAGTTGCATTGCTGTTAGATTATAATGGCATGCTGTGATACCATTTACCTCTCTTTACAAATAGCAGTTGGGTATTGAGTATGCCATGTTGGGTTAATTGGCATAAATGACTCAAAGATTACGTAGAATTCTTGTGTAAAACAAAAATCTTGGAAAAAAACATGCATCTACTAAGATCGCTGGACCTTGTACGACGAAATAATAACACTCCTTGTAGAAACTTAAATTGTAAATTGACAAATTGTGCAAGTTTATCATCTTTCCAACTGCACTAAGCTCCAATACTGACTATTGTATACTGTCAGATCTGTAAGTATTTGAACAGTGGCACAAGTTTTGTCATTTTGCATGTGCACACCGCAACAACAGATTAAAAACAAAGCAATCAAGATGCAATTCAAGTGTAGAATTTCACCTTTAATTCAAACGTTGTAACAGAAACATTGCATTAGCCATTTGAGAATTACAGCAAATTTCACTGCTTGAAATCTGGAACCCACTGACTTTACCAAAACCCTGAGAGTTTCCTCCCTTCAAATGCTCTGCCAGGCCTTCAGTTGCTGCTTCTTTGAGGATCTTTCTGCCTTTGGTTGTGTCTTCAGTAAGTGAAAACCAGCTCAGTTGGGTTGAGGTCAGTTTACAAGAATATTCCACTTCTTGGCTTGGGTTGGCTGTATGTTTTTAGTCATTACGCCATCTGTACTGCAAAGAGCCTTTTTGCAGAATTTGAGGGAATCTGAGCTGAAAGTGCGTCTCTATACATTTCAGAAGTCCTTGTTCTGCTCCCAGCTGCAGTCACATCAATAATCACCAATGGCCCAGTTCCATTAGCAGCCATATATGTCTATGCCATGACACTGTCTCTGTCGGTTCTATCAGATTAGTTCAGATGAACCCTTTCGTTCCTATTCCATACTTTACCAGTAAAAGTTGATCTTGGTTTCATGTGTCCAAACAATCTAGTTCCAGAACCGGGCAGAGTGTTTTAGATGTTTCCTACCAAAGTCTGTTCAGGCTTTTCTGTGTTTTCTGCTTTTTTGTGTTGAAGTAAAGCTTCTGTATTGACATTCATGAAGACATCTCTTGATTGTTGACTCTCTTCACTCAGCTAAATGATGCGAAGGATATTTTTCTTCACCCAGGAAAGAACTCTGCAGTAGTTTCAGGCCCTTTGGTGTTGCTGAGCACGCCAGTTCATTCCTTCTGTTTTAGAAATCTACCAACTAGTTGACTTGGCCTTTTCTACACTTCCTGCTGTCTCTCTGATAGAACCGTTGTGTTTTTCCATCCTAATAATGGCCTCCTTCACATTTATCAACACCTCTTATTGAGTGTTCCCATGAACAGCTACCAAAAGCAAATTCATCACTTGGAATCAACTCCAGACCTCGCTAATCTGTTTTTTTGTCAGCTTGTTAAATCTGCCAAATTACAGTATAAAAGGTCTGGAGTTGATTCCAAGTGATGAATTTGCTTTTGGTCGCTGTTCATGGGGACATTGAACATGCAAGTCCAAAGAGGTGTTGATGAAAACACAGGAACGAGGTCACACATGACCACAAAACTGCTTCTCAGTCGACTAAGTGAGAATAGAAGGACTGTGTATAAAATGTTTTTTCAACAGCTTGAATCAAAGCTGACAGTCTTCACGTCATTCACATGTTGCATCATTTCAAACAGACTGTTTAGGTGTGCGGCGGCAAAATAGCAAAAACTGCATCGCGGTCCGGATTGTTGTTTCTTGATTTATTTTACACCACTTTGCTTTGAAATCATGTTCACTCGATGTTAATGAACAATTATTCATCGCAATTTGCAGACTTTCTCTTTTAGAATTTTAAGTACGACTTTAAATGTGTTCATTACAGGAATGACCTGAATCAAATCAGCTTTTGGAGTGACCTCCATTTGCCTTTAAAACAGCATTAATTCTTTCAGGTACTCACAGTTTTTTAAAACTTACTTAACAGGAAGTTTTCCAAGCATCCAAACGCATTTTTGTTCCGTGGATTTAATGTGTTCTGTCTCTTGGTGTAATTTCACACTCGCTGTGGAGATCAGGGCTCTGTGGGGGCCATATTTAAATCTGAACGTGTGAGCGTAATGACTAACGAGCTGAAAACACTTCTGTAACGCCGCTTGTCTCCCGTCAGGTCTTCAGGAGCGGTGAGGGTATGGGTATCCGTCTGGACAGCGCCTCTGCCTTCCAGGGCGCCGTCATTTCACCCCACTATGACTCACTGCTGGTGAAAGTCATCGCCAGTGGAAAGGACCTGCAGACAGCGGCCTCCAAGATGAGCCGAGCCCTGGCCGAGTTCAGGGTGCGAGGGGTCAAGGTAGGACAAACCGTTTTTTTTTTCCCCTCTGCATTTCAAGCTGCTGTTGACTCATTGAGCTGATGGGGAGTTCGGCGGATGTCTAAAAGCTTTATTGTCAAGCTAAACAGTAAGCAATTGTTGTAATCCGTGAACCCTTTGACACGAGGAGGGAATCTCTGACAGCGGAGATGTAGATTTGATGGTGTTCTCTGCTGTGAAAGCCTTGATAAGAGCTCGTCTCAGACTAGTCAAGCCAGTCCAGATTAATGGCGTGATGCAGCTAAAACTGCAGTGTACTGAATCAGCTGCAGATTACAGCAAGTTTCTGTGAAGTGGTGCTCCAGCACTTGGACACTTAGCCTTACATCTCTGTGTGGCCTGTCTGGCTGATTACATGCTCCATATTACTCCATATTTCTTGGTTTTCAGAGTGGAAACGCACTCTGTCAGTGTCTAAAACTGCCTCCAGATAAAGCACTGCAAAAAGACAGTGTTTTTTCTTATTTTTAGTGAGGCTGTGTTAACATTATCAGCAGGTGCAAACGGCTGTTGGCAGACAGCAGAAGTCACTGTCAACAGCCTGAGAATACGGAGGTAATTAAAAGTATTTAGCTGCAAGGGTTGTTCATGTAGCTGTCATTCACATCTACTCATGTCATAAAATGCATCACATCTGTCTCATGCACTTCAATTGGCTTATTTGGAGCGTTTTGTTTCTTAAAAAAAATGCTTATTTGTGCCAAGTGTTAACACTGCTTGTGTGCATTTATTTAAAATACACTTGGGAAATGGTAAAAAAAAAAACAACAAATATTCTTTGTACTGCAAAATCTAAAGTGTTAAGAATGCTCCTTAACAGATGGCTGGCAATTTATAACGCCAATTAATTGTTGCATTAGATGAGAAAGAAGCATCAAATCAGCAGTTTTATTTAGATTCCCTTGTTATCGGTTTTTCACACGTGTAGCTGCACATTTTTAATTCGTACCCTGCAATTAAAAATGAACAATTTGCTATGTGGCTGATGTAACGCATGCAGGGAGCTTGCAGCACATTAAACCCAAAAGCGTGCCGAGCTTCTAATCAGGCCGCGAGTGGAAACGGCAAACCGGTGCAACCAGAGTCTGAGGTGCTTTTGTTGTAGATCGATTAGCGCTGTCCGTGAAAAATGCCATTCTGTTTCAAGGTGACGCAAATGTAGTCGGCCATCAAGGTGAGCGAGTCGTGTGCGGAGACGGCATCGAAACAAATGCAGCGGTTTTGTAGTGGCTAAGTGACGAGATACGTTCCAGAGTAATTTTCCGTTAAACTCTGATTCAAAGCTAAAATGCCATTAATGGTTTTTTAAAAAGGTTTCCGTTGTAGGTCACTTAGCGGAGTGTCAGATAATGAGCAGATAAAAGGGCTTTATGTAAACACACACTAAGAAGTCAACCTGATGTCCCTTTAGTACACGGGCTGCAACCGAAATTACTGTGTACAACAAAAACAAGTGTTTCTCAGTGTTAAAACAAAATAAATTATTTTCTTCTTAATTGGAGACAGCAAATGACCCAGCGAGAACAGTTTGTGCTGCACGCCAGCTTCTCTGAGCAGCCTCACTGAGTGCTGTTTAGATCCAAAGAGGAATTCTTTGTATTCTCCATCAGCAAACTTACACAAACGCTTCGTACCTCACAGACATCGGCAGAGACAGAACGTTGATGCAACAACCAGCACATAACAAGGTCTTCAATTAACATTGTTTGTGGCAGCCAGAAACCAAGACAGCGCTTTCTGAAGACTTTTTTTGAGCAACACTGGCTTGCTGTTTTCCTTTTATTCTGACACCATTCAATTTAAAGGCGTGACAGCTATTTTAGTTGGTTGTACGGACTTTGTGTCCCAGAGTTTCAAAAAAAAAAAAAGCATCCAAGTGTTCTCGTCATTGTCTCACAAACAATGCGAATGTCATTCAAGTCGTCTTTTTCCTGCTTCCATGTAGGCTGTGTTTGTAGCAGCAGTTTGGCACAGCTGATAATTTCTCTGCTTTTGTAGGTTTTGGTTACTATAGACTACACAGCTGTTTTGGTGTAAAGGGATCTTTAAGCCCAGATTTCCAAATAAGCAGACTTTTTTTGTTTTTCATCCTCCTTCCTCATCTGCTTCAGTTTAATAATAGTGCATGAAATCATCCATTTCCAGCTTGAAGAACCACATTAGACATGCTACAACACACCGGGAGCCCACATCGTCTCTCCTACCAGCTAGTTAACTGCACCCACCTGGCAGCGCGGGTTTAAATCAGTCTCTGAATAGACTTCAACAGGGGAAAACCAGCAGGGCTCTGGTTCCCTAGAAACCGGATTGTTTTATTTTTGTAACATAGAATTAATGAATATGTTGTCTCGTGCTTTGGGTTTTTTTTTATTTCGTGGTGCTCTGAAAAAGTTTTTGTGAGACAATAACGGTAACCTGTGGACCTAAAAGTGTTTGTCACAAGGATCAAAAGGTGGTTGTAAATGCACCATCAATAAAAGCAGGAACAGTACCAGAACAATACCAAACAATGCAATGTAAGAGTGCACAATACTGCAAAAATCTGACATTTGGTTTTTAATATATTGGATATGAAAAAAGACAAGATTGTTAACCAGGTGGCTTGAATAACTTTCTTTAGAAAGAATTAATTATTCCTGGATGGTTAGGGTTGTCTTGTAAAGGAGCGCGTCTGCATCAAAAACAGAAAATCATTTGAAAAAACCATTTGGAACGTTTTGCAGATGGTGTAACCCTGGCAAGGACATCCAAAATAACTTTGGGATTTTGGTGGCATTAAGACTGGCTTGTCATACACAGCATTTGTGGTGCTGATTTAAATGGTCAAAAATATTCGTCATCTTACCTGGTGCGGTGGCAAACTGTGCAGACACAGTACCTGGTTTTTAGCCAACGTTATGCTTTCTCTAGCTGCAGTATTCCCATTTATTTCTGCAAACAGATCTTCCTTTTCAGTGCTGTTCCTCGTTTGTTTTGCCGTGCACGTGTGGAACCTGCATGGCAACAAGCTATATGTCTTGTGAATTAAGTTTAGGAAAACTGCAAGAACTTTTAATAAGATCAGATAAACTTGTCTTGTAGATTATTCAAGGAAAATGAGAATGGGGCAACTTATCTGTTTGTATCGAGCAGAAACACATGATGTATTTGAGTTTACATTGCACCTCCTGCAATGTGACTTTTGTGCACCACCAGACTTCTGATTGTAATATTTGATGCATTAAACTCATCATCTGTGAGGAGGAATCCGTTTTCATCGTGATTTTAAACCTCACGGTTGCACGTAATGCATTTTGCTACCGCTAATTGTCATTATAGCTGTTGTTTGTTTACAAGAAAACTCCACAGGGCACCGCTAATAGTTTCAAATATGATGTTAGCTCGATGTGGACACTGCGCGTCATCCAGTGAGTAATCAATCCGTCCTGTGCTGTCTGCCCTACAAGCTAATTAATTTGATATAGCAGGTGTCATGTATATAAATTAGCATACACATTTGGCTAAATGGAGTCTTCACATCCAGTGCATTTAATTTCTCATGGTAATACCCGCTCATGTGCCAAAGGTGACTAGTAAAAAACTGGAGGACAAGAGCCGTGGTGCCATTTTTCTTCGTTTTTGTGTTGGAGCACTTGTTCTCTGGAGGTGCTGCTTTGGAATGTCACCAGTAAGGAGGCAGAGTGTTGGCAAAAAAAAACCCCTGATCCCTGGTAATGCTTTGTCTGCTCCCAGAGATATGATGCTGAAAGTTTTATTTTCTTTCCCCCCAACCTAGACGACATGGTTACAGTACTTGCCTCCTTACGGTACCTGCTTCTGGGATTATTCGGTTCCTTCTGTAGGTATTGCAGCTTCTCAGCATCTTAAGAAAAATCTAACCTTTAAGTAAAAGTTTAAGCCAAAATGCACCAACCAAAGTTTCCTCTGTTGACACCGCCGTCCTCCCTTGTCGTGTCGAATCATGTTTGGCATTTGGGCTCCATTTATCTCCTGCTTCTGTATACAGTGCGTGCGCATGTCTATAAGCGTCTCTCTGTTTGTGTGCGCACACATTTGGGATTGTGGGCTTTGGTTTGTGCGCATAAAGAATGAGCCATGTGTGTTGGGCGGCAAAATGTCACGCAGCCAAATAGACAGAGAGGAGGGGAGTGATGGACGGGAAAGTGACAGGACATGAGGCAGCAGGGTAAAGCTAGATGGATAGAGGAGCATGGGGGAAAACAGCAAAAGGGCAATCAAGATGGAGAGTGTGTAACATAAAACGACAAGGCAGGCAGGGCGGCCCGTGGAGGCCGGTACACCTGTGGCCACTGTGCTGAAAAGACTGACAAATGTTGCTGCGTTTGCATGAATATTGTTAGCAACACAAACAAATTAGGATTCTTTAACCGATTTTTTTTCACACGGCAGATAGGTTAAGCATGTGTGGAAGCTAATTAGGAGAAATTCATTATGTCCTCTGTAACACTCGGGTCTCTGCTCTGCAGGAATATCTGCCTACCTTAATAACTCTTCCCCTGAGGAGCAGCTGTGACTAAGTATAGAAAGAGATTTCTCCACAATGGGGGCTGAGGTAGAAGCGACACTTGACATTTAGAGAGTGATGGGTGGTATGTATACATCTTTTTAGCCTTTACGAATGCAAGAGCAAAGGTGTAAGAAATGGATTAAGCTGTCTGCTCTAACGAAAGCCGCAGCTAATGACTGAATGACTAATGAGCTCAGGAATAAACACATGTTCCCCGAATGCAGCCAGTTTCCTGCAGATGGTTTTTGACCACGTTCCTGATGATTCCTGAGCTCAATGTCAAACAGAGACAGACAGAAGGATGTCTTATGTAAAGACACACTGTAGAAAAACCATGTGATTCTGACAGCAAGGACACCAGAGATACTGTAAAATAACCATCTCATAAAAATACAATCTCTGTCAATAATTTAAATGCTGTTTGTAGCCTTAACATCAGATCATGTGTGTATTTGGAAGGTTTTAATGTTTGTTGAGGAGTGTTTTCATTAAAATGTCAAAATACTGTTGTAAAAACTAATAATTTAGTTTAAATTTGCAAAATAATGTTAAGTGTAAAGATTTTTTTTTATCTAACTTTACACAGCAATCTTCTATATTGACTTGATCTGCAGTTTGAAATAATATTCACACCTTTACAATTAATATGTTCACCTTTAAAAGCCAGATTAACATTGTACGAAACACTTAAGAGATTTCAAACACACAGGACGACATGTAACCATCTTTTAAGTGCGAGCACGTACATTGGTGGTAAAAGTGTTCAGCTTCAGCAGCTACATCATTTCCTTTCATGAGCTTCTCCCACTGAGTCCTCCCAGAGTACTGTGAGTTCGATGATGAAGACCTTCTTCAGAGAGGGGGACCAGAGTACTCCAGAATACTGTGTCAGGTCTGAGGGCAGTGGTTACGATCTCTGGGGGAAAAACGAGCTGCCGACCAGCATCCACGAGCATCTTCCAGTCACGTGCTGCTCGAAGCTGATCTTGCTGTAGAGGTGTGGGGCCTCTCCTGGTTATTTTCTCTCCGTCACGGATAAACTTAACCTGTGTTGGCTTCGGTGCTGCTGATGGTAAGCAGTTGGAAGTGGTTCACTTGGTTTCCAAGGTGGAGGCGAGGCTGTTCAGGACCTGATTATGACGGCAGGTGAAACGGCCCAGGGTGAAGCTGATTTTACACTCAGTGTATGTTTGAGGGAAGCTGGTCTGGAGCAAAGGGCAAAGATATGTCAGATTTGACCGTGTATTTCTAGTATGCTGCTAGAGGTATACAGTCCAGTTAAGCATGGACTCAGACCTGTACATAAACACCATTAACTGCTACAGAAGTCTCTGTCATGGTGGTCCATCGCTAGTTAAACTCCCACCACCAGCAATCAAAATGCAAACATGATACAACTGAAATAGTAATTAGAAAACTGTATTTTTTTATTTTTTATTTTTTTAATCATTTGGACTTAATAACATTCCCATAATTCTTTGTGATTGGCAACAGACACTGCTGGTAGCCCTAACGAACGCCTCCTCAGGTTACTACAGCAAATGAGCTGCATATTTTAATAACCTGTAACATTATTAAGCTCTTCACAGCAGTTTGATATCAAACAATCCTCATAGCTCATTTACATGATAGTTAGTCCAGCTGCTGCACTAATTATCACTGTTTTAAATGATAAAATCTGTATTGTGACAGTTTACCAATGCAAGTATTTGTGTTTTAAAAAGTTGTTTCGTTTAGTTACCAAAGAAATATGTGTAAAATTATAGAAACAGCTCTTTTTGTAATATTTCAGAAGCATATTAAGCTTGAATAGAAGAGTTTTTATCTACTGGGTTAAAAGGAGATATTTGTAAAATTACGATAAATGTTGCAGATGTGTTGTAACGGGCGTTTTAGGTGAGGAAACTTTTTTTTCCCTGTAAATTAATTAATGGTGATTTTAGGTTTGTTCACACTTACAGGTCACAGGACGCAAATTCGGTCTATTTGTGCAATGGTAAAATTTGTCCTGTGTTTCAGAAATACGTGAGTGAAAATCTGTTCATTTGTACTTTTTGCAGTGTAAAGACAAATGAACGGACGTTACCCAACGGGGGGAAATAGCTGCAGAGAGCCGAGGTAGGAAGCTGTCAGAAAAAGAGACAAGGCTGTAGGTTATATCCGAACCTTTTCCCTCATGGCGCTACAGGCTCGGTATTCTGTCCAGTTAGACGGAGACCTCAGGAGATCGTGATGATCGGACGTGTGTGTGTGTGTGTGTGTGTGTGTGTGTGCGTAATTGTGTATCTGCGAGTGAGACTGTTCAGTTTGTTTCTTTCAAAGAGTTTTTTGCGACACCAGAGGCTTTGCTCTAGGCAGTGTGCTTTCATTACTGTTCATCTTTCCACCTCATCTGCAGGGGTGAGAGAGTCTGAGGTGACCTCGGGTTGTTGCATCCACCTGAGTGTGTGTTGGAGGGCAGCAGGGTTTCCATCCAGAGAGGCGCTTTGAAGAATCTTGTAATGTTTCGCTTCATTATAGCCCGCCAGATCACAGGCTGCTGCACATCTTAAGATGGCCTCATGCTTGTACATCTGTTACCTTTCTGCGTATTTGAATGGAATCTTTTATTTTTCCACCTTGCACTTTGATATTCAACAGCGTCATGCGTGATCATAGATGTGCGGTCATCTTTCGGAGCGGGTCGCCGGGGCTTTTACTGGAGAAGAGTTCATTTTTAATGGAGGATCGTATCGTCTTTCTCTCCGTTTTTAGTCGGAGCTCTTTCTTCCTCCTACTTCACTCTGAAGAACAATGTTTGGTATCAACAAAAAGGTATTGCATAACAGTTTGCATCAGTGTTTTTAAAGTTAACTTCTAATGGGATTCTATACAACTGACCAGCTGCTTTGAGTTAACCCTTTTGACAGTATAGCCCCGCGACACCGGGCTGGCATTACGACTCCTGTTCAACACTGCAGACCGTTATAGCGGCTCTGGTATATGGTGACTTTCTGGTACATTCATGTTGATTGGCTATCAGTGGGAATCCCTGCATGTGAACAAGCGATTCAGTCATGAAATAAATTATACAAATGAAGTAAAATGATGTCATTTGACCCCAAAAATCAACAGAAAACAGGATTTTTACTACCTCGTTTCCAAAATGTTTATCAAAGCTAACTAATTACCAAACTTTGGCTGATGTCTCAGTATAAAGAATTGATAATTAATTGCATATATCCCTGGTAATTATGAAGTTTACCTTTTCTTTTTCACACCTGTTTGTATATGACAAGAGTAGACTTCCAGATGTATTTAACCGTCAAATTGTCTACTTTTGGTTGATACCAGATATGTAGTGATGTGACGTCTACTTAAGAATTCATGAGTGATTAATCACAACATATCTGATCATGAATTTCAAGCCAAAGATACTTGAAGTGTAGAAGGAATACACGTTTACTTAGTGCTGAAAGGGTTAAAAGAAACAGCTTTTCCCCTGCAATCAAACGTGTTTTTTTATTTCCACTCATTTATTGATTGTCAGCGTAAACACACATATTTAAGTTGACACATAAATTAAGTTGTTACAAGCAGTGTTTCTCCTTTATGTGAATTTTTCCACATTTTTCAGTGTGCAAATGAAAACAAACATTAAGTTGCTCCATTGTTCAGTATGTAGACGACGGGATGTGAAATCGTGAGCTCACGGTGAAGAAAAGTTTATTTTATCAATTTGAAATCAGCAGAAGTTTACACATAATATTTGGGTGTAATTACCCACAAAATTATGTTAATCTAACCCATCAAAAATAATGTTTGCAACTTAAAAGTTTGATCATTAAATCTGAATTTTTAACTGAGAAATGTGAGTTTAAATTACACACAACATTAAGTTGATGTAATTATCAACATCATCAACAGTAATATTTCCAACTTAAAAGGTTTATCTAAGTTTTTAAATCAAATCTATATCTAGCATTCTCTGTTGCTTCTTTATCCCTCAATCCAGTTTGTCACAATTTCTTAAATCCCTCCGTACGGCAGGAATCCTTCATAAAACAACAGGAAGCACAAACAGTGTGTGAGATCCGCGTTCTGTTGGGAATTCACTGTGCAGAGTTATCAGTGAAGCTGTTATTACGGCACCAATGAAACAAAATATTCAACCTCATGTCATGTCACATCTTTTCAATTGTTTTTTTTCTCCCCCCTCATTTTGTGGCAGTTAACTATAGTGTCATATTGGCACAGCAGGATTTTTGGATATCAAGACTCCGGCAGTCAAATTGAGTATTTTGTTCTGTTTAGCTGCTGAGTGTTTGCACACCTCTGTCAGGGCGTCTGCATCTCCCAGCGCCTATACTGACACGTCGAGCTCTTATCATACACTCGCTCTTTTTTCATTCCTGTCTCTACCTGTAAACAATCCCTCCTCTCACTTCTTCTTCTTCTTCTTTTTTTTTAAGTTCTCTTCTGTCAGGATCCTCCACCTCCTCAACTGTTTGACCTCAGTCAGCCTTCATGGGCGAAGCATAGCTCTCTCAAGTGTATCTCTTGTTTTCAGATCTCTCAGCCTCCCATTAACGGTTCACTGACTTGGTTACATGTGTTTTCCCACGATTCGCCTTTTATTTTTTTATTTATCTCATCTCTTTTATACCTTCAGTCTGTTTTTAGAAGCCCTAGCATTCACCTTCTTTGCGTTTTTATATCGATGTGTTTAGTGAAATTAACTTAATCCACGCTTTGAAGACGGCTTCATTTGCATCCAAATTAAAGCCAAACATAAATCAGCATCCTTTTTTTTTTTAGAGAAAATCAATGATCTGCTTTGTGAATCAGTCCTATTTTATCCCAATAAGAGAAACTACCCTGTGTGTTAAATCTAATTCGGTCCATATCAAACGGGCTAAAGCTTCGCAAATGACTTCGCAACATTCAGGAGCCTTTGCACCGCTGGACCTCTTGAAAATAAACTCTTTTTTTCTTGGTTTTCTTCCCTTATTCTAGTCACGTCTGCGTCAGTGTTAACCTAGTTACAGGATGAACCTTCCCTCCCTCTGATCTGGAGTTAGCCTCCCATGACTTTTGCATCCTTCTTCCGAGGCAGGACTAGGCAGAGGCACTGATCCAGGATCATCCAGCCGACATTTACAACCAGAGAGAGGACAGACGGCAAATCCATCTCATCTCTGACTTATCAGTAGCAGTAATAAGTGGTTTAGACACACTCCGACAACACACACACACACTTGGAGACACATTTTCCCCACACAGTCGTATACACTCGCTCTCAAATGAAATAACACACTAATATGTGTCTCCAGGGGCCGGGTTATCTGTCCATCTCTTCTTCATTTCACACCTCTAAACAGCCGCTTGCACGGTGCTTAATCACATGAACAGTTTTGTAATTGTCTGTGTGTGTGTGTGTCAAAGCGTAGCCAGCCCGTGTGTTTGTGTGAATCTCTTCATTTTTTTTGTTTAGCAAAGAACAAACCTGGAAAAGCCTCATTTTAGGAAATTGAATAAAAGATCAAGAATATTCAAATCCAATTAGCGACAAAGTGCATAAATAGAAGTCGAGGAACAGAAGGTGAGGCGGCGGTGACACGAGGGCGGAACAAACAAAAAACATTTCGATAGCGAGAAAGGGTGTAATCAGGACACCGAGACAGACAGAGCAGCTGACAGTGACGGGGAATAAAGAGGACAGGAAGAGAAATGGGAAAGCGGTAGATTTGTTTATCATTTTAGCGGCGCGAGCGGAGAGAGTGACAGTAGCTCTCAACCAACAAAGTCTGATGCCTGAAATTAAGACCTTTAAAAACGGCTCATTTTCAAACGCGCACAGGCGACAGGTTTTCATCCGACATTAACAAGTTTACGTGCTGCATGATAACTCTCAGATTAATACAGAATGGAGGCGCTAAAGTGAGGAATGCGTCGTTCGCTGTCAATTTTAATAAACGCTTTTCTCTTCCATAATGAATGACCTGTTTTTCTTTTG